CTAATGATTAATTATTGTTGCCACGTGGTATGGCTCTACTAAGCTCTTGGTGGTTGGCTTCTCTTTGTAGTTCCATATTACCTTAGTTTGGGTTTAGGATAATGAGCACCTCCTTTTAATGAAGGGATTCCTATTTTGAAAGTAATATACTTTTGGCCCAGTGTATCTTGGTCTAGGCTCCAACTAGTGAAAATAAGGTATAAGGGGAGGGACATATAGTTGAGGTAAGGTTAAGCATCACTTATTAAATTAATCTATTAATTTATATTATTGTTGATTGGAAAAACTTTATTCCTTGTTTTGTGAACTCTTTGTGAAAGGATTGCAAAAATTGCACGTATATATATAAATATGTATGTGAACTGGTTTCGAATTCTATATTGGTATAGGTTAGAATATTTAATTATTACTGAGATGTTAAATCTCATATGTTACCTCTTACTATTTTCAAGTGAACTATCTGATAGAGTTAGCTAAAACAATGTGATTATTCTCCTTGTTCGATTTGGCTAGGCATATGTGGTTGTGGTTTTTACCATTCTGAAATAATTTAAGTAGCTAGTTATTTGTAAAAATTTCTTTTGGGGTGTATCATTTGAGAAAAGATTGTGAAATTTGGTATTCAAAATAGACTATTGAACTGTAGATTGTTGTAGGCTAAGTCCAATCTATTTAATAGTTTATTTAGTTTAAACTGGAATTTGATTTAAGTTTATTGTTTTTGGACTATTTAGCTTGTTGTGGACTATTTATTAGGCTTCAAATGCCTTAAGCCTAGTGATAATTATTTTTAGGGATCCTGTTGTTTTTATTTAACAATTTTTTAAATATTTGCGAAAGTAAGGTGGGAAGTTTTGTTCTTATAAAATTATTGTGAATATTTTATCTAAATTTTGGGGTGTTACTCATCCTCTATATTTTTTTTTCATGTCAAAGACCTTGTATTAAGGCCTCTCTTGAACCATGTTCTTGACATATAAGGCTAACCACTTGATTGTAGCTCATGGATTCTTGTAAACTCCAGCACCCCTCTGATCTAAACATAATGTCTTAACCTTCATTCATGGGTTCTTTCCATCCTTTGCAACACAGATTTGAAACAGGCAGCCGTTTTGACACATGGCCTATACCCTAAAAGGCTCACTCCTTCTTACCTTTAAATGAACCCCCTCGATGATGGCATACCGATCAATAGTTGCCATGGTCTGTTCCTTATTTGCAAAGGTTGAGCCCAACATGAAAAAAAGGCCTTGAATTTGATCCATTAACTCCAGCAAGCCTTCTCAATTCCTCTAAAGGCCTAATATCATCATCCAGGTCTATTTCACAATCTAAGTCCTCATCCTTATACCCATTGTCCCCATCTTCCTCTTTATATGACACATTCTCTTCCCTATCACAAAATTCTTTGTGTTCACTTTTATATTGGTCTTCTTTAGTGGAGACCCATCATTTTCAACATTGTCATAGATTACAACTCCCTCATCATTGTTTGTTACCTCAATCCTAGCTTCAACATTATCAAGGACATTCTCCTCACCATTATCAAATAGTGCAATCTCATCCCAATTGATTGACACATTCTCCACATTCACATTAATGATATCTTCTTCAAGTACATGTTGCTTCTCTTAAGTACCATCACCCACTTCATTTTCACAACCATGTTGCTTACGTCAACTACTCCAACCCCTTTCATTATCACATACATGTTGCTTCCCTTGACTAGTTTCACCCCCTTCATTATTTTGTGCGTTACTATTTTTATCACGTATACATCACAAGCTTGAATACTTTTTGCTATTGACCCATAGCCACCATGTAAACTATCTTTCAATTCAACCTATTCTTTTAACTTCTTACTAATTTCTTCAAATATTTGTTTATAGCATCCCAATTCATACCCATTGGGCTCCCTTAACTGCTAAATCAAAGAATTTTTTTTTAAAAAAAAAACTAGTCACATGCATGCAAGAAGTGCTTCAATGTGATTTCACTATACTAATGATAAACTATAATAATGAGTAAATTTGATTCCTTTCTTGAAAAAGCAAGTTATTTACTATGACTCTACTCCTCGATTTGCCCCACAAGACTTGATTCCTCTTCTTGAAATCCTGAAGAAAACCCTTTATTATGACTTCTTCTACTCCTCAAATTGAATGGCCACAAGGTAAATTTGATATAGGGTTTGATTCGAATAGTGCATTTTCATGAATCACTTCTTTTCTTTATTTAATCCATGAAATCCATGTTACATAACCTTTGTTTTGCAACATGTAGGTCTACTTAGCAAATAAGGGATGCCATAGCTGATTCTAATGGTCAAAGCTGATAACTTAATAGTCAATGTGATTTTAATTAAACGATTGATCAACATTGGTATGTTTTTGAAAGATTAGGGGGGATATTGCTCTAAAAATAAGATTAGAATACTAGGTGCACCTAGGGTAAAAGTTTTTGGATAAATTTGCATCTTTATCCTATATATAAATAAAAATGTTAATATTTTTGAAGAAAATATATTATAAATACTAATTAAAGTAATATATAAATAAAGGGCAAGACTTATATGCTTGCTCTTATATACTTAATACACTTTCATCCAATCTTACTATATTAATAATATTAATAACAAGAATTTATTATAAAATAAATAATTTATAGTAAATACACATGTCTTAATTTAATTGAAAACAAGCACTTTAAGTATATAAGGTTAAGTATATAATTTTTTTCATAAATAAATTATATGTGAATTTTAAAATATATATTAATTTCAATTGTATTATAAATTTATTTCTATAATAAATATAAGATAAAAATATTTTTAAATATGTATTCTTGATAATTTTAAAAAGAGTGAGGCAATTATTTTTTATGGGGTGCAATTGTAATTTTAGAGAAGGGCAAGTGTAATTTAAAAAAATTGTTTGTTTGTTTTTTTTTAAGGGGCAGTTAAGTGCCTGTTTTTATGTACTGGTGTGTGTATCAATGTATCATACGAATTTAGATTATCCATAACTATTTATTTATTTATACTTATTATAAAATGTAGAAATTAACATTTGTCCCTATAATATATTCTCTTGATAAGACTATAAGAATCTATTTATTTATGATTTTTTAAAGTCAACTTTATTTCTCTCCTCTAATTCAACAAAATAAAAATGTTAAGATTCTTTTTAATTATTTTAAAAAATAAGTATGATAAAATTAGGACAAAATGAGAATGGAAAAAAAATAAAAATACAAATTTTATTTAATATATCCATAATTTTAATAAAAATTCGTTAAAAATATTATTTTATGTGAAAGAATGTTTTTAATATTATTTAATATAGAAGAGTTGATTACAAATTTATAAGTATAAGCTAATAAAAGAAATTTTATTATTTAGAGTAATTAAATTTTCTATCTGAATGATTAATCTTGGACTTACACCAAATTCTCCCTAAAATTAATTATAACCCCAATAAAACTCATTCTGGTGATTCATATATATAAATTGAAAATTAAACTCTCAATTATTTATTTAAGAGATCAACACTCCTTAATTTTATTAACGAATTTGTCTTTTGGCCAAAGCTTTTATTAACGAATTTAACTTGGCATTCCTTGCTAGCTACTCTGCTTGTTGGTTTTGCTTTCAATTTATATTTTCAAAATCGAACCAGACATTAAATCAAAAAAGTCAGCTGTTTACGGTTTACACAGTTCAACCGGGTTAGACCAATGGTCCAATCGATAATGTAATAATTAAATTAAAAAAATTATATATATATATATAAAATAATTTAAATATAAGAAATATATATGAAATTACTATTTAACTTAAAAAAATTAAATATTTTAAGTTTATTATGACTTAATAAGCCACATGATACAATATAATATCAAATGATTAAAAAAATTAGTCATTTTTTAAAAAAAATTGATAAAAATAAAAAAAAATTTGAACAGTCCGGTTTTTGAAAACCGGATCCGATTCTAGGCTTAATTTCGGTTCTCAATCCAACTGTCAGTTCAAAATGGCTCAACCCTTAAAATAATTTTTTCCTATGAACCAGACCGAAAACCAAACCAGTCGACGATCCGACCAGTTCGACCGTCCAGTCCAGTCCAGTCCGATTTTAAAAACACTGCTTTAAACTACAAGGCATGATTTGAAACCTAACAACCAACAAAAAAGAGAAAATAAAATAAAAATAAAACTAAATATTCCTTTTAAAAAAATAAACTTATCATAGAATATATAACAAAAAAATAATTAAATTTTAACACCAAAGTTTACCACCCACTTCGTGCTAAATATTATTTCAACAAACAAAAAACATGTACGAATAAAATCGTTAGATAACAATTTGCCACTTAGCCTCCACTCGCAATGTTTTTCTCTCAATTTTTAAAAACAATACAATATTATTTTTATTATTAATAAAAATTAATTTTATTTATTAGTTGATCAAAAAATCATAAAAACACTTTAAAAATTTTTTTAAAAAAAGAGAAGGACAAAATTTTTTAACCATTTCAATAATTTTTTAAATCCTTGTTTATAATTTTTAGGTCATTTTTTCTAATTTTTTTAATCATTTTCATGATTTCTTTTTTCTGCCATTTTCTGCTAATAGACAATGTCAATTTTTGTTAAGGGAAAAAATTATATTATAACATTTTTAAAATTTAAGAAAAAATATTACATAAAAAAATTTATAATTCCAGACACTTTTGAACCTATAATTTAATAACCAAACTGCCTTTTAGCCCCAGATAAAATCCTACATAGGGACAGAGCGCATTATCTGAATGTCTCGCAATTCGCAAAATTAAGCGGGAAAAACCGAGGTGCAAAATGCACAGAATCCGTCGAGGCCTATCGGAGACACAAAAAAACACGTGCAGATATATTATGCAAGTTATATTTTACAGGGTATGAGGAAGCTACCCACAGTACGCAGTTAAATTTATTAATTTATGTACACAATAACCTCCAACTATTTCAGACGAATCAATCATCTTGATAATTGATATCCACAGATTCAGGAGGATTCACAACGACAAAGAATGCCATGTAAGAATTAACTATACAGTTTGAGTTTTAAATGCAACTGTACAATCTTGGAGGCATGCAATGCAATGCTGAAGGATTGAATCAACCGTCACGCTTCCAATAGATATCTTCAAGAGCACGGTAAAGAATGGCAGCAGCCGGTGGCCTTGGCAACGAGCCAAGAAGCAAGTCTGTTGCTGTTAAAGACTGGCTGCCATAGAAACGGGAATTTTCTTGCCATCGTGTAGTCACAATACTACCTTCCAGTGAACATCCAACAAATGCACCTGCAAATAAGATCCAATATAGTAGCCGTCAATCTCTGTGTCCTTGAGGTGTTAGTCCGAAATCCTTATTCCACCAAAAGGGGAAAAAACAAGAAGAAAGAAAGAAAGGAACAGTTCAGCACTTTCACGGTTTCACCGTCTTCCCTAGCATTGTTAGCAGTTCAATGTGAAAACTATCTGCAGCGTCAGGATGGGGTGTTCTAATTACTTTTGTTCAAGATCGTTTCAATTCAGACAGATTGCCAAATAAGGTCCAATCCTGAATGAAGGGAGTATTATCATGTTTGCAGAGAGAGATTGCACGAGATCGAAACTGGAAAGTAGATACAAGTATAACCTAGGGGGGAAAAAAGAAGAAAAAGAGACAAAATATAGGAGGAAAGACCGTAGTACTCAGGCCAACTAGATTCATTTTCAAATAAAGTTTACGTCATCAATATCCTAGCATGTTTCTTAAAAGTTTCGGGTAAACATTGTAGAACAATCTAAACTTCTCAGATAAGTTGATGTAGTGTATCAGTTTAAAAATTCTCGGCACTAGTGTCCTTTTTTATTATAAAATCAGGTGAATTGCCTACTAAAATGGATGGCACTCAATTCTCTGGGCAGTGCAGCCTTGCTTAACCCTCAAGAAAACCTTCTCTCCTTTCATTCCCATGAAAGACAAATGAAAAAGTAGATAGATAGATGTCAACACTTTAGCATCTTTCTACTGATTATCATATCATCTTTCATTATCAAAATCTGAATGACCTAAATTGTGATTATTCACCATCATTCAGTACAAATATGCATCCATTGGTAGTTAAAAAGAAATTTTCAGTCATTCACTGGCCATACTTGTACATAAATTGTACATTTTCCTGCTAGACAAGGAGACTAAGTTGCAAAGTTGCATTGCATTTGCATGCTATTCCACAAAAAATATATTTATTAAATAAGCATTAACAAAAAATACATACCTTTACTGCAGCTGTACGTGTAACAAGCAGCCTGACCACCATCCCCTGCACGAAAATCAGCTTCAACTGCCCTTCCAACAGTTCCAACTGCAGCACTTGCTCCAGCTCCAAGTGAAATATGCATATTACCACTAAATGTCTTGACAGCATCCTTTGTTCTCAGAACAATTATGAAGTCCGTTAACTCTCCTCCAGCCTGTAAGAGGGGTAAAAAGTAAGTTTCAACACCTCAGAAGGCATAAACAAATGGGCATTTCTACAAGATTTGAAGCCTATATGTAGAGTGGCAAGGTTGAGGTTTAAAAATTGTTAACAAAAAAAATCAGAATCTATGAAGAGTTTTATCTATTGCTTAATCTACTACCAAATGATGCAACTTATTTATTTTTCCACTGAAGACCATCTTGCAAGAAAATGAAAACAAAATGAAGAGTGTTGAACTTTAATGTGAACTTCTTGCTGATGTAGAATGTGAAAAGAGCGGCACATGTCTCATTTCAATAAGGTGCTGACTCTTGAATTTTCAGGAGATCATATTTTTGTGATCAAGGATGCTAGCTCAAGTGCTCAACATTATCAAAGATTTAATTAGTTCACCTGAGCTCCCCATCCAACACCAAATGTGGAAATGGCAGATGGCGGAGACCATGAACCATCTTCCCTACGTGCAACCACGAGTCCTGTACCAATATTGTAGGTAACCATGACTCCCACTTTCACAACAGTGATAATTGCAAGGCCTTTTGCTTGCCTTAGAATGAAATCAGGGATTGACTTCTCTGGCTTCAAGGAACCAAGCTGCAAAAATGAATTTCATTAAACACATTGCAATTCACTCAACATAGCCCACGTAGACTTTTATCATACTGAACTATTGAAATCTTTCTTTGGACATAGACCTATTAACATCAATAGCACCACCAAAAACCTCATTTTTAAATTACAAATAATTCATTTTTGGCTTAGAATTAGCTAATTTTGCCCTTGCACCGAGGAGACTTGATAAATATCATGCCATAATTCCATCAATCCCAAAATAATCACTAGAGATAAACAGAAAATTATTAACTAAGCTGTAAAAAATGAGATGTGAATGAAAAACAAAGGTCAAACTTTAGCTTAAGGACAAAGCAATTACATATCAGTTTCTCAAACATCTTATTTGGTTTTTTTCAAAAGTCTTACCCTTAGGCAGGTCACAAGTTTTAAGTCAAACCTATTTGCTGAGTGTGATCTTAGCAACAACATACTTAAAAGAAACACCGGCTCCTAGGCCTAGCAAACCAACAGGATGATTTTTGAGGCTTTTCAAGGCCAGATATCACCATCAAAGCAAGTTTGTAAGAAACACAACCCCATAATAATTGATATGAAAGGTTTTCTACAGGGACTTTAGACAAGAACTCTCAAATCTGGATTTTACCTGATTATAAGCCTTGATAGTGTTAGTTGCTTTATAAATTTCATATTCCATGGACTGTCCCCAAGGAAAATTCAGCCAAGATCTCAAAGTGCTGAGATCTGTCAGATCCTGAGTTGGCACTTGAGTTGCATTACTAACCTGGTCCATTAAATATGGCTGTACAGACTCAAGCCGTACACAACAGACATCACAGACTCTTTGGGGATCAGAGACTCGAAACTTGATTGGTAACAAGCTTCGTCCTTTGGAGCATTCACCACAAAATATTCCTCCACAAAACCGGCAATGATGCCGTGAACACATGATAGGATGAAACCGCACACCACAAAGCATACAAGAAGAAGAAGAGCTATCAGGCAACCATTTTGGAGGCTCCGTTTCAAGCAATTCCTTCAAATTACTAAAGTTGGCCTCTGTGAGAGTTTGAGCCATCTCCTTCCAAGCTTGTTCAAGTACAAGGTTTGATATCCATGAAAAGTTGCATTTCTGAATATCTCCTGAAGCCAAAGAAGTCACTTTTCCACGGGCCACAAGCAGCATTTCTACTATTACATCCCACATGGTCAATTCCTTTTCTTCTCCAAGGTATTGATTCCATCCCAAGTCACCCTCTGGAAAATAGCCGCCATTTGAGTGAAAACCTCTAGCCCGCTCCTCATGTTCACCTTCCAACATAGGTGGAACCGAAACTGGTATCCAAACCCCAGTATCTTCATACAGCGGAGAATCATAATAGAAATATTTTCCTCTCCTCTGAAGGTTACCTGATTTTTCCAGGTTTTCTTTATTTTTTCCCAATGTCTCTCCGGACAACGCAGGATAGAACGAGGAAGTATTTGTACTATGCCTTTCAAGGTCAGCAGTGGAGAAAGAACCATGATGATCGTTATCCTTGATAACATGGTCTCGCAGATTACCGACCTGCTCATCACCCTATCAATAGTATCAATATATTAGCATCCAGTCTTAAAATGACAACACATCATTGATTACCAAATTGTATAGTATTTCATTTAGATGATTTCAATTAATCTATCTATATATTCTTATTTTCCTTTCAGTTTCATATTTTCATGCGACGTCCTCATCCTAAATAGAAATATTGTCAAAGACTTCAGAAATTCACAGCTAAATTCCATGAGCACAAATTCATAAACACTGAAGCGACGCGAAAGACAAGAAAGCAAAGAAGTTTTCGGTCCAACCAACAGAAACAGAGACATGGATGAGAGTACGGGGAGGAAACATACAGTAGGAGAAGTGGGCATCCGGTCGCCAAAGGAGAAATCAGAAACCCTTGTGTATAAGCCTTCTGAAACTTCAATTTGATCCTTAGATTTCCAATTGCCCTCCATCGTCATAAAATCTATTAAGCACCAGATAGGGCAAACGATATCTACAGATGTGATCCGTCAAACGATAATAATGAATTTTCAGACATCTATTTGGCTGAAAAAATAATCAGTCGAGCCCAAAAGATCGAACTTTTAACAATAAACACGAAAAGGGTGCGAGATAAAATTCGACTTGGAGTTTCGATAGCGTATTGCAGCTTTCGGCTCCTCCAGTGTTTACGTCTTCCTTGCGTATGGACCCTGGACTTGTAATCTCGCTGGGCTCAATTTTTATTATCGTTAATTAATATTTAATACTTTTCATTGTTTTTTGTTGATATAATTAACCTTATCATCTCCAGGCCAAAAAAAAAATAATAATAAACAAACAAACAAACTAGAAAGGATTAAAAAGGAATGAACAGTTAAACAAAAATAGCATCAGTTGGTCAAAAAACAAAACAAAACAAAAATAGCATCAAGATCAAGAAAGGTAAAAATGACAAGAATAATTTACATACGATTTCATTTTAATTATTTTCTGGTTCCACAATTTATACTAAACGATTTTACTAATTGTACTTGAACCATACTTATTCAAAATTTGTTGCATTCTGGCCAAAAAAGAAAAGGTCGGTCGTATAACAAAATTGAAAGTATATGACATAAACCTTAAGTACATCTATCAAACTAATTTTTGTTAGGGAGAATGACAATTAAGAACCTGCTAAGAATATTAATTTCAATTACGGATCGTAAAATTTTAAAATCAGAGTTAAGGACCATGGTCCTTAATTGTGATAAAAAAATATAATTTGTGAGGTGGGATTCACTAACGCGATTTGGGAATTCACTAACCCAACTTGAGAAAATTACTAACGTATATTGTGAAAACATGAAACCCCACTTGAAAATGGAATGTTTAATAAAAAGCGCTACTTGAGAATTCACTAACTAGACTTAAAAAAATTTCTAACATATATTGTGAAAAAATGAAACCCCACTTGAAAATCATTAATAAAAAGTGACTTATCTAAATTAGTGTTTTTTATTAAATAATCGATTCCCGAGTAAAGTTTCATGTTTTCACAATATATGTTAGAAATTTTTTCAAGTCGAGTTAGTGAATTCTCAAGTGGCGCTTTTGTTAAATATTCAATTTCCAAGTGGGGTTTCATGTTTTCACAATATACGTTACAAATTTTCTCAAGTTGGGTTAGTGAATTCTTAAATGGCAATAATGAATCTCACCCCACAAATTATATTTTTTTAATCACAATTAAGGACCATGGTCCTTAATTGAAATTTCAAAATTTTACGGTTCGTAATTGAGATTAATGTTCTTAGCAGGTCCTTAATTGTTATTCTCCCTTTTTGTTAAGTATTAGTATAAATTTTAGTTTGTAAAAATTAAATAAATTTTTGAAAGAATGACAGTTAAGTTCCAAAATACTGAATTAATATCATTTAAGTCCTCGATAATTTTTTAAAAAAATAAATTGAAAATATCGATTCAAAAGTTTTAATTGCAAATAAATATTTAAATATTAAATATAATATTTAAGTTATAACAAAAAATTTTGTTTGTAACTATTTGGATTAATATTTATAATTCATTTTGTAGAAAATTTTATTGAGGACCTAACTATCATTAATTCATTTCTTTGGGACCTAACTATTAATCTCCCTAAATTTTTCTCTATTTCTTCATGAAGTATGGGCTTAATTGTAATCTCCTCCCTTATTATTCTCTGATTAACTCTAAATCTCAATTAATTAAAAGATTGGTTAAGATAAAAGACACATTACCAAGTTCACATTTGGATTAGAATGAGAGGATCCCACATTTTCAATGTTAAAACCATTTCAAAAGGTTTTGCAATTGACAATTAAAGTATAAACATTATGAGGAAGCAAGGGATCATTTAAAGAATCATTCCATGTGCTTATAAATCAAAAAACACAAGTTTTTTGCAAAATTTAAGGTGTGCACCAGACTCGTTAAACATGCACTGCGGCTTGTGAGCCACCATGCCATACACCGCAGCTCGTAATACAATGCATCGCAGTGCATTGCACATTTCATGATAGTAAAATTTTGATGTCAATTTAATAGCTTTCAAGGCAACTTCTAACATGCCCTAATTCTCCATCCGACGTTCGATTGACTCAAACTAAGTGATTATGGAAAGCTTTTTTTGAGCTCTAGCTAATGGGTTTAGTTTCATCTTCAAATTATTCTTCATTCAAAAGTTGGACACTCTTTTCAAAATTCTCACTTTTCCATCACTTTTAGCAAAATGAAGTGTTCAAAACACAGACCACAAGCCAAAAGCCTTAGACACCATTCCAACAACATATAATATACTAAAGCTAACCTATGCAATGCACCACAACACACATAGCACTTATAATTCACATTTTCAATGCTAAACTTTTTACTTATAAATCACATTTTCAATGCTCACCCTTAATCTTAAAAATAAAAAGGAGAGTTAAAATCTCACTTTTCACCCAATAATTCACAAAAATCACAAGTTATAATCATTTCTTACTCACATTAGTATTTTAGCTCTACTCTAAAATTGACAAAACACATGCATACACCTTGAGGCCCACAATATACTTAACAATTCACAAAATACATTATGCTAGTAAGCTCTAACATGGATTAGTCCTAGTTGGCAATATTAATCATCATATACACATACTAACTCAAAAGATAAAAGAGGCCTACTAATAGCATGTCAAATCCTATGTCTTTGATCGTTTTCCTCTGTTTTGTCCTCTTGAGCTATTTCCTAAAATATTAAAGATAGTGGGGTGAGAACAACTATTCAGTAACTAAGGTTCAACTAACTCATATTAATGCATGTCAATTAATTTAAATGCAAGTGGCAAATTACAATACAATTCTAAATCACATATCATTCTCAAAAACATAAAATCCACATTTTCATGCATAATTGCACATACTTAAGAGACCATGATTAATAAACACAATTTTATACAAGAAAAGAACTAATCACATGATCTATTTACTTAGTTCATAAGGAATTAGGTTAAACTCACGATTATCAACATTAGGATCATAATACATATAACCATGTGCCCTTTTTCACTATATGCATGATCGCACCTCTCTTATACCCTCTTTATTCTTCTGACACAAAAACATGGGTTATATACATATTAGGTTTGTTTATACATTGAGACTACCCCTGGCTAAAACACTTATGAAAGGTTACCAAGCCAAAGCTTTCCATCTTACTTATGGGTCATGATTTCCCCCATTTTCTCATACTATGGGGTGCCATTCTCCTTAGAATAGTTTTCTCATTGAACAAGTGGATAACTAACTAGATTCAAGTCCCTCGTTAAACTTGTGGGACAGTCTCTCATTGAACAATTGGGACAAAGTACAAAATAAATTCAGGCTATTTATCGAGCTTTGATAGAAGCCTTACCATATGGATTTAAATCTTTGATCCTCTTCCTAGATGAAATCCCATCTCTTATGATCATGCGATGCATATATATGCACCAACTCATAGCATGCAATTAATTACTACTTAAGCATGTTTAGTTATCTCATTGTATTCTCATTACACATAATCACAATTAGTCATTGAACTTCATATTATGTATGGTCATTGAACTTTCTAAATCACATAATTATTGAACTCCACTTACAATAAATCATTGAACTTTTTATAACACACCCATTCATTGAACTTCACATCAATCACATTCATTGAACTTTCCAACACACAATTTCATCGTGCATTTTCCTTTTCAATTTATTGAACTCCTTCTATCACACATTCATTGAACTCTACTTAGCACATAATCATTGAACTTTATGAAATTATATAACAAGAAATCCATTAATCATGTTTCAAAGGATTTTGCATATAATATATCATTGAACCTTTGCAAAAATCATCATAATGGATTTTCAAGAAATTTTATGCCACACCTACATTTCATTCCAATTCATATAATTCAATTATCAAATGCCAAATCATAAACTAATTAACACATAAGAACATGAGAAAGAATTATCCCGGTTACTTCAAACCTTTGAGAGGGCAAAGATTTTACCCCTCAATTACTCACTCCCAAAACTTTCAAAAAGCTTGAATGGTGCGGATATAGATACTCTACAATTAATCACAATACAATTCATTAATATCCAATTTGTAGGTGATTCCACTATCAATCCACACATTTCTTCACTTATAAGATTCATTTTTTACTTATATGACAATACCTATAAGGTTTTTTAGCTTCCTCTAACTCATATTAATATCATTGAACTCTTTATTGACCATTAATGAAACCACATTGTCCAAACCATCATATTTATGGTGAAAATTTGAATATTAAATGCTTCCCAGTCATCAACCATCATAAAACCATAAATGTTGGGTTTAATAATTCAAACAACTCCTATTAACTCTATTTAAATTAATGGGTTTGGACTCATAGCCTACATGGATTGAAAATTATCTTTTTCAATCAAATCCTAACTTCAACATTAAAAAAATGGAAGAAGTAGGTAGATTTAAGCTTGGGAATCTTACCTCTATTGTTTAGAGGCTTCAAAACACTCCAAAACTTTGAACCTCCTAAGCCTTAGCATAGCTCTTTAGTTGCTCCTTTGTTTTCTCTTTGTTTCCTCTCCTTTTTCTACTGCATTTCACAATTTTATTTTTGTAAGATTAGCCCTCCACCTTGGCGTATGGCACAAAGAAGTCTTTCCCTAGGCGAGTCAACCCACATGTACCGCGGTGGCTCATCCACATGTCAAGGCGCGTGGCATAGAACCTTACCCTTCTGATTTCCTTCCTCTTTTCACATCTAAGTGACCCAACTTCACTTCAGACCCATGTTTAGGATTGAAAATACAACTAAATATACCCGTTAGACCTCTATGGCCACACACCTTAATAATAAACTTGATTAATCTAATCATCCTAATTAATCCAATTTAAAATTTTGAGGATGTCACATTAATCATAAACAAAAAATTTTAAAGCATAAACAGAGGAAATAAATTTTATAATATGTTACTCCCTTTATTAAAAAATTTAAAGTATTTTTAACTAAATTTCACCCCCAATCAAGTAGTTACTTGTCTTAAAACTAATCCTATCTTTTCATATTTATCCCTGCATTTCACCCTAAATAGTATAAAATAGTTTATTCAATAGGGGCAATTTTAAAAAAAAAAGGTAATGATTACACTTTAAAAGATTAAAAATATCT